CAGGCATGCCTATTCTGTGTAGTGACTTTCTAAAAAGGCTGAAGTTGACAGAGTCATAAGCTTTGCTCATGTCTTGTAATAGTATCTATAGCTGGTTGGAGTTGCATGCTGCATCTTCTATGATATTGTTGAGAGTATGGATTGGGATTGTGTATAAAGGTATAATTATTTGGTAAAATTTTAAAAATTATAATATTTTTTATAATTTTATTAATAAAATTAAAAAAATTGATATTATTCTTAAATATTTACTAATTAATATTATCTTCATGCTTTAAATAAACTTGTTTTATATATAAAAATATATTGTATTAATATATTTTTACTTTATAATTTTAAGGGTAGGAGATACTATTTTAAAATTATATATAAACTTAATAGTAAATTTTTTTTATATTTAGTTTCAAAAACTATATATCACACCTATAGTATTCAACATCACAATAATTTTGTTTATAAGCTGCAGTGTAATATATAAGGTAAGTATTCCTATTATAATACAGCTAATCTTGCCCAATAGCAAGTCTTTATTGAATTGACATAAAAATACCCAGTTTTTACTAAATTTAATATATTCCAACTTAGAATAAATATTTGTTTAAAAAAAAATTTTTTTTAGACTAAAAAAATCTAATCTGTATTAGAGTAACATAAATCCTTCCAAAATCGAGATTATTAAAAGATCACCCTAATTTGACGCACTGGAATAAAATCAAATAATTTTTAAATTTTTTCTTTTTTATATTAGTTTGTATCCTTAATACATTGCTTTTCTGCCTTCAAATGTTTCGTTTTTTTCTCTGTGCCTCTTGCTTCTGCACCTTTTCAGCTTCATGTGCTATCCATTTTTGGATAGCTTCTTCTTTTTTATGTTGCTTCTTGTTGAATATCCTTTTTGCCTCCTCCTCCACCTCTTTCAGTTGCTTCAATGATTCTTTGTTTGTTAAAAGCTAGGAGAAGGGTATAGTTTTTCTTTTTTTTCTTTTTGGAAGTTGGGATTCAGATTCCTCTTGATCAGATCCCAGATCTTTAGTTGGTGAATTAGAATGCAAGAGATATTTAAGTATTTGCTGCAAAGAACTTGTACCAGGGTTATTAAGAGTTTCAATCTCTTCTTCCAAATATTTAACTCTTTCATTTAATAACCTAATTTCAGATATTAGCTTTTTTTTTGTAGGGTTTGTCTTGGTAAAGCATGTATTAATTGGGGCTAACTTTGAACTTTGTGAAGATGATGATTGTGAATAAAAAGAAGATCGTGAAGACAAAGAAGATTGTAAAGACAAAGAAAATTGTGAAGACCTGGACGATTGTGAAGACAAAGGAGCTTGTTGCTCAGAGGCTTTTGGAATATAGGTATGTTTAGTTGTTAATAAAGAATCTAGATAGTCAGGTTCAATTGCACTAGAATTGAATGGCCAAATTCTTGTAGTTTTGAATGAATTGCATATTGTAGTAGGTATATAGATTGCAATATATAATAGTTCTAAAACTTCAGCGAACATGTGTTTAGTTACAAATTTACTATTACTATTAATTCAAAACTTATCACACTCTTTATCATATGTTTTCTTTAGAGTAGCAAATGGTAATTTGGCTAGTTGTAAGATATGATTAGTATGAGGGGGAGGGTATAGAGAAGAATATTGTTCTCATGACAGTAGTTAACACTAATATAGTTGATATGACTTTTATGGCTATCTAGAATTAACAATATAGGATGTGCAGGTGAGATAGAACTAACAAAATGCTTGATATATTTTTGAAATAGGCTTTCTTGCATGTATTCTGTCTCAGTAAATCCCATGACAGAACCTGCAGGAGCACCATTTAAAAGACCCAGGATTGTTTGTTTTTCTTTAAAGATGAACAATGGTGGGATGTATGTCCTGGCAGCTGATATAGTTGGACATACAGAAATATGTTTGTGAGAACTGCTATATAAAACCAGATAAACCTGGCGTGATTCCTTTTTGGCTATAACTTTTTGGGTTCTAGGTTCAATGATAAACCCCGTTTCATCCTAAGAAAAAAAATAATATATAAAAAAATAAAATAATCTGATTTAAAAAAAAAAAAAAAAAAAAAAAAAAAAAATATTCTCAACTCTATCCATTCCCCCTTCACTCTA